TATGAGATTAGTATTTATCAATTAAATTTATAAAAAAATTAACTAAAAATTACTTTTAAACTACATTATTTTAATAAAGTATCATAAAAATTTAAAATAAAATCAATTTTGTTTTAAAAAGTATGTTATTTTAGGTTTTTTAATAAAAATTTATAAAAGTGATATAATTTTAAAGTGTTTTTTAATTTAATTTTTTACAAGTCTAATTAATAAACATTTTTATGTTATTTTATTAGTGACATTTTAATAATTTCGATATCTAAACTATGTTGTTATTACATGGTTTGAACCTCAAAAACTTGAATCTCTTATGGTATGGTGTTAATGGAAATTTCATAATGCCATTTTTTTTCATCCATGGCCTAATTTCAAAAAATAATGCCATTTTTCAGTTATTATTTAAAATCTAAATAATTGAATTTTTATCTAAACTCCTGTCCAAGTACCAACCCAACAACATATGGTATAAAAAATTCAAGTAACAAGACAAATAGCCAAACTCTATTCATAGACAACCCCATTAAACTCAACATATGGCTTCTGCTTCCTTCTTCAAAATATTGCAGGCTTTATGATATAACATGTATCATGTTTGATATTAGCTCGCCCTGTGCCATTCAGGAGAAGAACTTAAGGGTTTTAGCTGATATGATGATCGATCTTAGTGCACCGATGGGAGCTAAAATCACCAACAGAGAACCAAGAATGATGCATATCTGAAATGGATCAACATGGGAAAGAAATAAGATTAAGAAATGGTGTCAATTGAATTTCATAAAAAAAGGGGGGCGGAAGGAAGCAATGATATATATACCCAATTGGCCATCCAAGAGAAACTGAATCTTTTGGGTTTGTAGATGGCAAGCCACATGGTGCAAGGGAGCTGCCGAGGAGACATTGTTTTTTTCCATGTAAGGATTCTAGTAATGTTAGTGAAATGAAATCACAGCTTTTAGGTGGTGAGTTCTTGATGCTTACAAAGTATGTTGTTGGGGCAAAAGCAAATCCACCAAAGAAGCCGAGAAGACTTCCAAAGAATGGGATGCATATGGCAACAAACATTGTGAAGGCTACATCACATGAAAAGATTTGGGATGTAAATGATCATTAGCAATATGTTATGAAGACAGAAACAGAACAGTCGGATTCCATCCAATATTTAGAAGTACTTACCAACATATAAACTGCGGGTAATTAAGCGAAGCCTGAAACAAGGTGTGAAATTCAGTTTCTTAACCAAGGCGCTCTCCAACATGTCAAAAACCGGCATGGCATAAATCTACAGATTTTCCAGTTGAAAGAGAGTTTTGGTCAAACAAATAGCTAGATATATCAGTGAAGGGAGAGCAAAATCCAGTATAATTAGAATCATAAAATTCCACCTGATAGCTTCCAATGACATGGATAACAACAAACATGTTCGCTGCTGCAATGAGCCAAGCAGGTTTCTCCAATGTGATGAGGATGTTGTCATCCACGGAGTTTCCGAAAAACCAATATCCAATCAGAGCAACAGGGAAGTAGCACAGGGCAACAATAATGTACGCAACAACAACACCTTTCCACATAGGGATCTTGGAAGGTTTTTCTGGGGTAGAAGGAATTGTTGCCTGGATCTCCAGAACCACGTTATGCCCAGCATAAGCAAAAGCTACATCACCCAATGCTGTGAGAAAATTGAAGAAAGCTCCACTGGAGGTGGAAGCACTATATGAATAGTCCACATCTGGCTGCACTCCTTTAGCAATGGAAGCTGCCCATGCAATTGTAGAGTAACTGCATAGAGAAGATGAAAATGTTTGTTAAAAATGGTTAGAGTTTAAAGAATTCAAGTGAATGTGAGACCAATTCATGTTTTTTTTTGCACCTAAAGGACATGACAGCAGCCGCAAGTGAGACTGCGGATATGGAGTTGAAATTGGGGAGATGGGAAAGGACAAAGTGGGAAGAAGCAAAGATCATGATAAAGTATGAGAGTTTGATTTGGTTGCAGTTAGGACAAACTGTGTCATGGAACTTCTTCAATGATTTCCCTCCCGTCACCATGTAGACAATATCAACACCAACTTCAACTATCACCTGCTGGGGCACCACAATCCATAGGCCAAGCTTTTCACCAAATGCATGCTGCCCAAGCTCATGGTACCTATCAAACCGCTTCCCCGGCACTGACTCATGCATTTCCACCATTTGCCAAAGGGTAAATAATGTAATGACCCATGACAAAATCAGTATAACCACTCCAGGACCCCTGAATTTCCCATTAATGATTAGTTTTAGGAATCAAAACCCAGAAACAGATATCAAAAACATGGTTGGCAAAAATAAACAAACAGAATACACACCATCCCAGATGAGACATGGCATAAGGAAGACTGAGGACCCCAGCTCCCACCATGGCCGTGACGTTGTGGAAAGCAGAGTACCACCATTTCGCATTCCGGGAAGATGTGATTGGAAGCCAGTCGTCGATGGCCTTCTGCTTGGCTATCTCAGCCTCTTTTTGTTCCCCATTTTTATCATCAAAAGCCATTTTTTCTTGACCAAAAACTCAGAAAATGCCCAAAGGTTTGAGCTTTGAATATCAATCGCCAAGAGTAAGAAGTTGGGATTTAGAGGAAGTCAAGGAGACAATAAATAGAAAAAAAAAGAAAAAAGTCTAGACTACTAATAGACGGTTTTTTAATTAAAAATTTTACATAAATTAAATTAATCGTCCTTTTTTTTTTTTTACAAAAACAGTTTTCTTTATTACTTGATTTTTATTATTCATCTTATTGTAAAAAAAATAGGATTAATGTTTATTCGTTTTATTTTTAAAAAATTAAAATAAAAAAATAAAAAATACCTTAATTCATATTTTAAAAATATAATATTTTAATTTTTTAATAAATATTTATTAAAATGACGTAATTTTAAAATAATATTCTTCATAATATTTAAGAGATAGGACGAATAAACATTACTTTTTTAAAAAAT